GATACTTGATAAGTATCAAGGACATAAAATGGAAAAAATATATTTATTGGTTTATTTATTCATTTATTTTATATCTATTGCTACATAAAAAATATCCTAAGATAGCAGCTAGAAAAATATATATTTATTATCTTATGGTTTCTGTAGATCAAGAATATGGGCACCCTTGCCTGGGTGCTGTAGCCATGGAGTGTCTTTCGAGGCTATGGTCACACCAGGGCTTGGCCAGAAAGAATCTATTCCCAAGCTCACTCTGAAGTGCATTGGCAGAATTTAGTTCACTGTGATTTGTTACACTGAGGTCTTAGATTCTTCTGAGTTGTTGGCTTGTTGAATGGATGTCATTTGCAGTTCCTTGCCTTGTGGGCATCTCACAAAATAGTGGCAAGCAAGATGGAAAGAGTGGAGACCAGAGAGAATGAGAGAAAGCAAGATGGGAATCATAGTCCTCTCTAACCCATTCATGGAAGTGATGGCCTGTGCCGTATCATGTTACAAGCAAGTTTTTAGGTACATCCCATGCTCAAGGGGAGGGGATTACACAAAGGGCATAAATATTAGGAGGCCAGGGACCTCAGTAAGCATTTTAGAAGTTGCCTACTACACATAACCACTCTGATTTATGGATACTTTACTGTGTATAAATCCTTATGCTATAAAGGTTCATATACAGAGATAAAGAAACTGTAAATTATGACTTTGATCAAGTGATCTAGTAGATTCAGTGATATGATTAAAACAAAACAAAATCATTAATCCAGGCTCCTAATAACTCCTTGCTTGGATCATCATACCATAGTAAAACCTTCATATTTTTACTGTATTTTGAATCCTTTACTCTTCCATAACGTCCAGAATAAGAATCAATCTCTTTAGATTACGCTCTTTTTGATCCAGCATCTACACATCTAGTCTTTGATTTTCCCCATATTTATTCCCTAGAATACCAATTCTGTGAGTTGTTAGGATTTCATATCATGTTTAGTAAATGATAGTCAAAAAAGTTCAAGCTGGTATAGATATCACAGTATTTCTTGGAAACTTCAGTATTCTAAAATGTGAATATAATGTGCTGTTTCTCAAACTTATTACATATTTATCCACTCAGCCCTTTTGTCGTAAAGCATTTCAAAAAACTTATAATTCTGATGAATATCTTTTGGGAAAGACTACTCTCAATTCAATTTTTATTACTCCATCTCTTCTCTGATCCAGTTTGTCTCTGAAATCATCATACAATTATGGGTTTGCAAGTGTCCTCACATTCTGGTCTCTCTACCTAAAATGTTCTTTCCCCTTCCATTAGTGTTCTGTGCTGCACTTATGACCTGATGTTGTTAATTGATTTCTATGTCTCCTCTTCCCTTTTCTCTGAACTGCTATCTTCTTGAGGACTGCCCATGTATAGTTCAAGTTCATAGCAGTCTTAGTGCATATGTAGCATCAGAAACACACTGGCTTTTAAAGGAAAGAATACTTTCTGAATACTAGAGCAAATGTCTCAGCTTAGCAGACACATTTCATAACCTCCTTAGCAGTTGGGTTGAGTACATATGATTCATTCTGGCCAAAGGGTTATGGAGATTATGCATCAAGATCATGGGAATACAAATGTGAGCAGACTGGATCTCTTGTGTCTCTGCATGAAAAGCTCTCTTACATTAAAAAAAAATGAATGAAATACAATTGAAGTCAATCTTAGTTAAGTCACTAAAATTTCAGAGTTTAGTCTGTCTTGACTAAGGCATTGCAATAAGACTGGTGGGATTTGACACAGACAAGAGTGTGCAGCATAGAGATGTTTAAAAGTGAACATCCAGGAGATCCAGACAGTGGCCAAGAGTTTGTTTTGAAGTTGCCTGAATTCATTCTTATTTTGGTCTTTAGGAAATTTCTAGGCATATATATCCTTAGGAAAGATGCCTTGGAAAAACTTACAGACATGGTAGTAGTTAATTGCTAGATTTGAACAGAGCTGCCTAGTTTGGCTTATTTTATGTGGAAAAAAAGGGATAAGGTGAGTGAATAGGAAGAAAATGCAAGGAAATATACCATGGTTTTAAGAAAAAAGAAGCTTCAATAAAGTGAATGACAGATTTGCTGTCTATATTGGCAAATTCAATAGCAAACTGCTCGATTTTACCCTCATTTTGCCTAGGCAGCCTAACTTGAATTTCTAGAAAATTGCTCTTGGATTAATCTGATTATAGCTTTGATGTTAGTCCCATAATTCTAAGAGACAGGAGATTTCTTCTTCATTCCTAGATAAGGTGAAAATTTAAGGCTTTATTTTATAAGGAAAGTGACTGTGAGAAATCCCAAGGGCTTTGTTTTTCTTTCTGAATTGTTAGTAGCCAGTAGCAAAAACTTTGAGTTGAAAAGGGACTTATTAAAAGGATTGTATGGGCCATACATAGATTAGGAAGGCTGGAGAACCAGGCTCTGAAAGTTTGGGGAGACTGCAGACATAATTTGTAAAGATGCCTCATCACTGCATGCTGCTGCAAACTCAAATCCAGAAATGGTGATTCTTGTAGTGAGGCAAAATATAAGTCTCTACCTGTATTGAAAGAGTCCTATGCAATTAGTCTGTTACAAGATAATTATGTGGTTGCCCTGCCTTTACACTAATGAAATGGTTTTATGAATCAGCGTTCAGAGTTGGTTGCTGTTGCGGGCAATTCGAGCATTAACTGATGGTAGTGACCAGCTGACTTTCAAGGGGGAGATTTACTCGGTCTCTGTTGCCATCACTAAGTTCATTGGCTGAAGGCAAGTGCTGACTGACATGCACCAGGTGGAGCTTCTGATTATTAAATTTCCTCATAGTGACACCCTCTGGTGAGGATTCACATGGGTAAAGTACCCTTACACCCTCATTCCATTCTGAGTATTCTATGCACATAATTCTTTCCAGCTAAACAATCAGCTGCTCCCTGTGAATTAGCTTTAAACTATACTCTGATTAGTCTTTTTAAAAATTTTCAGTAAAAACAATCATACGTACTGGTTATGGTAGATTTTACTTTTTAAAAAATTACTATTCACTCTTTCTATGAAATAATTATATAGCCTATTTGTAAAGGGCACTGATTAGGCTTGATCCGGTAACATCTTTGGACAAATGAAATGTGACAAACATATCCAAGTAAAATACTAAATGGCCATTATGAGCTTTGACTTTGTCTCTTTTTCCCTCTGACACAGAATGAAATACCATAGGTACGGGCTACTCTTTTCATTGTGGATATAAAACAGTCATGAAGTCAAGGAGCCTATAAAACCTGTGGTAATGATCTCAAGCTGCATGTCCTGGAACCCTCACAAATATAATTGTATCTATAAACCCTCTACCCCAAAACATTGTAAGCATACATTTCTTTACATGGAACAAAGGTTGCACCAACTTGCTGAGGCTCATTGACAGAGGTAAATGGATCTGTGCTCTAAGAGTCTTTGGGTAGGTATGTGTTTGAACAGGAAAGGTGGCTTTATAAAGTTTGGCTTAGGAGGCTGGGAATCATTCACTTTCTTGACAAATAAGCCTGCTTATTTTTCTCAATGGCATTTCTTTTTATCACTGTCAATATTTTGCTCATGGGTCCTTCTATCCTTCTCTAGATTTGATTATTGTAATTCTTCATTTTGTACACAACCTTTGGGAGCAAACACCTGAGGTAAACTCTTTAACTGCAGCAGATCCTTTTTATTTTAGAAACTGACTGACAAAACAATTTTAGCATAATTATGGAAAAATAAAATATTTATTGCCCCTTTAAAGCATTTAATATTGAGCATAGTAAAGTCACTGTGATTTCTGAAAGCCCTGCTTCATGGGATGTCATCAATATTGCTCACAAACATTTTGAGAAAACTTGGTGCTTCTAAAAATTGGGTTTTAATTTATCCTGAGGGACATATTGAATAACTTTTTTGTTCTTTTTCAAGTAATAACTTAAAAAAATCCCTGGGAAATGACCATATTGAAACATTTATCTTATTAGTCAGGCCAGGCTAGCAATTCACAATAATTTAATTTCAATAAACATTTACTAAAAACTTACTATGAGTTATAGTTTAAGGTCATCAGAATCTAATAAAAGGCAAAACAGATTTCAAAAGAAGTATAAGAAAGTTAGGGTCACATAAGTTGCAAATTAAATAGGGTTTGATCAATTAATAGGGGGTGGGAGGAGAAAGAATAGAAAACTCATTTGACCTTATTATTCAGAACTCTGCTTTTAAAATGGAAAAGAGATAGGGATTTTGCAACCTCAAGGAAGGATACCTTTTTACTTAGCGATGCTGTGAGCAATAGAATAATAACAAGGGAAATACTGAATGTTGTTTTTTTGTATACTTAGGGTTAACTTATAGATGAGTGTGTGATATATAGAAATGTTTCAGAACAATGTAATTACTAACAACAACAATAGAAAGGTAAAAGTATTCCTCGTTAGAGAATGAGAAAGGAGGAGGAAACATGGTGGTGGGAAAAGAATGTACTACAGTAATGATCGAACATACAAAGGCGATACGTTGAAAAAAACTAAAAATAATGATATCAACGTTTTGGAGAGTTGAGGTAAGGTAATAAAATAAACCTTCATTTGTCATAACAATAAGAAAATTAATGTCTAGACTTCATAAAAGAAGTAGTAGTATAAACTCAAATGTATAGTAACTCCTTTGAAGAGCTCATGATAGACATTGTTCAAAGTATGGCACAGTTTGGATATGAAGTGCCCCCCCCCCCGAAAGGCTCATGTGTTGAAGGCTTTGTCCCCAGTAAAATCGTTATTCAGAGGTGGGTCCTTTGGGAAGTGACTGGGTCATGAGGACTCTGACCTCAACGGTGGATTAATCCATTGAGGGATTCATAGCTAAATGGATTATTGGGAGGTGGTGGCAACTGCAGGAGATGGAGGGAATAGGTCCCTGAGTGTGTGCCCTGGGGTATCATATCTTGTCCTTTGCCCCTTCTTCTCTCTGCTTCTCAGCTGCCATGAACCCAGAAGCTATGCTCTTCTATACCCATGATGTACTACTTCACCACAGGCGCAGAAACAATGAAGCCAGACTACCACGGACTGAAATTTCTGAAACCCTAAACCCAGATGAACTTTTCATCCTCTAAGTTCATTTTTCCCAGGTATTTTGTTCCAGCAACGAAAAACTGACTAACACAAAGTATTTCACTCTAAGGGTGGAGGCTGTGGAATGTTGCTTCTTTGTCATTAGCCTCTGGAGTGTGTTCACTATTTAAACTTTGCGCATGATTTAATTTGATGGAAAAACTAAAATATTTTAAATGAACAAAGTTTTGAGGAGAGAGAAATGGGTAGGGCAGGCTTCCTGGCCTGGAAAAAGTCACTGGCTATATGACCACTCACTGCGTGAATCTGGTAATGAAGTATGAACAATGTTATAAGGTCCATACAGAATGAAGAGTAATGCTGAGTGAATTCTTTTATATTAAAGAATATAAAATATTAAAAATAGATATTTTAAATATTTTTAATTATAGATGAACAAAATACCTTTATTTTATTCATTGACTTTAATGTGGTACTGAGGATCAAACCTAGTGTCTCACATGTGCGAGCCAAGTGCTCTACCACTAAGCCATAACCCTGAACCCCTGGATTCTTTTACTGATTTGTTTGGAAATGCTTTTCCTTTCAATTTGATTGTGATAGCTTTTTAGTTGTCACAGGAGAAGGAAGAGCATGCAACAAGGTACATAATATTGCAAATGTTAAACTCATTGAAAAGTCCTCTTAAAAATTATGGGAGGGAACAACATCACCAGGAATGGTAGAGTGAGAACTTTCAAAAATTCTCTCCCCCATAAAAGTAAGATCATTGGCAAATATTAAAAAAAAATCAACTTGCCCCCAAATTCTGGAAATTAACAAAATGATTGCAACAATCCAGCGAGTTTTTACTCTAGAAAAAGTCTGAATCTTAGAAATGGCAACAATCCAGGGAGTGTTTACTCTAGAAAAAGTCTGAATCTTAGAAACGGCAAACTTTGTGAGGTTTTAGTACCATTGGAAATCAATAGCCTCACATTCATGGTAAAACCCCTGGTAAAATCCATGAGTGTGAACCTACGGAGCTCCTCCAAGCCCAACATCATGTGACTGTCCTTATGTGACTTGCTTGGCTGCTCCTTGGAACACTCACATGCTTGACTTTGGCATGACTCAAAGCTGGTTCAGTGCAAACTGCCTTTTCACAAGGGGCATTTTTCTCAACAAGTGGTAATTAATTAAACATTGCAGCTGCCTGAGGTGGTGGTTGCAATTGAAACAAACAACATGTTGCCCCAAAAGTTTAAAGGAAAATCTGGAAAATTGGATGTACATAGGGAGTTTTCAAACGCTTCAACATATTCCTGGGGAAATAGAAAGACAAACACATATTTAGGGATTTGTAGATGATCAGGGCTATGCCCATGCCCTGGAAAGACTTGAGAAAAATCTACGCTCTCATCTCCTGCTTGAGGCTCTGTACTGGAACAAAGTGAATGTTAAGACAGAGATGTGAACCGCCTGCCTCAGTGTCAAAGATGTGACCCAGTCAGTGCATAGCTGGGAGACTTATTGGTTCCAGATATTTAAGGACATCTTTATCCAATTATGATATGACCATTAAGGTAGCTGGGTGCCACACACAATAACGAATACAAGTTGAGTTAGAATATAGACTGATCAGCAGAGTTAGCTCAAGAAAGTCACTAAACACACTGTAGCCATAATAAAAACAAAGAGCAACAACAAGAACCTCTGTGGAGTGTTAGGGTCTATAAACAAGTCAAGATGGCGCCTGGCATTTTGCCAGAGGGAGTGGTTTGAGAAGTAACACCAGGGAGCCATTAAGTGTGGAGATTCCTTATTGGTTGATTGCTGTATCTAGTTTATGTTAATTAAGATAAGCTGTGTGGAATGTATATATACCCCTCTTGTCCCACAATAAACGGTTCCCACTCCTGCTGTATCAATGTACGCAAGTTGCTCGCCCCCCCCCCCCCAGTTATTTTGCTGCAGCCGGACTGTGGCTGCTGAGAGCCACGGCGGAGTCTGTATGGCCCCTGGCATTTTGCCAACAGTATTGATTGACAGGCGAGGCATTACTATCCGCCTCTGCCGCAACTTTCGAGTTCTCGCACTATTTTGGAGTTCTCCTGGGGATTTCCGGGGATTCCCCGAGAGTTCCCATTGGTTGGGGAAGTGCAGGAGGAGGGATTTCCGGGAGAGATATTTCCGCTGGGGGTTCCTGGACAAGCCGCGTGGCGTTCGGGAGGATTCCCCGGGAGCTGTGTGAAGTGTTTTCCTGCAGTTCAAAAATAAAGTTTGTTCCTGCTTCAGTGGCTCATGATTTGTGCCCATCCAGACTGCGGCATGCGGCAGTGGAGGAGGGATCTGATTTCCAGTGTTGCCACTTCATATGATTTAAATTTCAACAAAACTCCAGATATCAAAAGAAATAAAGTACAACACATAGAGCCAATAGAAACTACTATGGAGAAAGCTTGTTCTACATACTAGATGAAGGTTTTATTCATCAACAACCTATTCAAAGAACATATCTGGAAAGAAAATTTAGGAAATTAAACCATATCAAGGGAACTAAAGGAGAGTATAAGGATAATGTTTCACCAAATACAGATTATCCATAAAGATGGAACTAAATAGGAATTCTACAGCTGAAAAACATAACTAGTGGAATGAAAACTCACTAGAGGGGTCCAATGGAAAATCTGAGTTGACAGGATTAAAAAGTGAATTTGAAGATAGGTCAGTATGAGATAGGTCTCAAGAAAAGAATAAAGGATGAAGAAAAGAATAGAATCTTACAGAGTCTGTAGACACTATCGATGTAACAAAACATACATAATAGGAATTCTAGAAGGGGAGAGGAGAAAAATACATACAAAGTATATTTGAAGAATTAATGGTTCTTGTAGGAAAAGTAGGCAAATAAAGAGCATTCAGGCTAGAAAAGAAGAAGCAAAACTTTTTACAGAGATCCTGCAAATAGAAAATCAGAAAATGTGATGAAAAACACGAATCCGTATACCTGGGAGGTTCAATAAACTCTATGTAGTATGAACTCAAAAGAGTTCTACGCTTAAACACATCACAGCCAAAAACCCAAAGCCAAAGACAGAATCTTGAAAATTGAAAAGAAAAAAATGGCCCATCTTGTATAGGGATCCTTCATCAGATTAACAGGCCTCTTCTCATTAGAAGCCACGGACCCAGAGGGCAGTAGTATGATATATACAATGTGTTGAGAGAAAAAGGGTTTCAACTATGCTTTCTATTTCAGCAACACTTTCCTTCAAAAATGAAAGTGACATCAAGACATTCTTAAATAAACACAGATTTTTTTTTGCCAGCAGGCATGTTCTACAAGGAATACTGAAATGAAAGGACACGAGATAGTGACTTGAATTCACATGAAGGAATAAAGAACATTAGAAAAGGTAATACGCAGATAAATGTAAAAGTCTGGGTAATTTAGTTTTTGTTTGTAACTCCTTTTTTTTTCCCCTCCATCTAATTTAAAATACAACTTTTTAAGGCAATAGTTATAAATCTGTGTTGATGGTTATATAATGTGTAAAAATGTACTTTATATAATACTATTACAAAGGAAGGAGAGAACAGTGCTTAAAGGAGCAATATTTTTGAAAATTATTGAAACTTGTGATTAATCTGGATAGTGTTACGATTTAAGATACTAATTATAATCCTCGGAGAACCACTGAGAAAATAACTTAAAAGAGACTAAAGATTAAAACGGAGTGTCTCATGAAAAGATAAGGGAGATCAGTACAGTAGAAGTGGGGACCAAAAGGGAGGAGGAAGGGATGGGAAGAGGAAAGAACTGGGGATTGAAGTTGACCAACTTATACCAGGTGCATGTATGAGTATACCACAATGTACTCCAATCTTGTATATAATTATAATGCATCAATTAAGAATAGAAATTAATAAATAGATAACCAATCGAATAGAGGAAGAGGATCAGGGGGAGAAGGAGATGAAGGAAGAGGTAGTAATGATGATTGAAATGGAGAAAACTGTTATATACATTTGTGAACATGTCAAAATGAACCCCACTATTACATATAACTGTAATGCACACACACACACAAAAAAACTTGTATAGTAAAAAAAAAAAAACAGCAGGGAATTAAAATGGTGCTCTATAATGTATCTATTCAATAGAAAAGAAGATAATAATGGAGGAACAAAGGGATAAAAATCACATAAAATATAGAAAGAAAATGTCATAATGAGACATTCAAATTTTCCCTTATTAGTAATAACATTATATACAAATGGTTAAACATTGTAGGGAGAAAGAGGAGTTAGACAAAATGGATTAAAACTATTTAAGTACAATTTTGTCTACAAGAAATACTCTTTATACTCAAAGACATTAATAACATGAAAGCAAGCCAAAGAATGAAAAACTATATGCTATGTAATCTGCAAGCAAGAGAACAAGAGTAGCTATAGTATTAGAAAAAAATAGATTTTAAGATTGTTACTAAAGACAAAGAAGCAAGGAAGAAAGGGCACTTTATAAAGACAAGGGTGTAATCCATCAAGGAGATATCAAAATTATAAAAAAAATTCCATTTATCAACAAAGTCCTTGAATACACAAGAAAAAAAAACCTGATAAAATTATAGGGAGAAATAAACAGTTCAACAATAATGGTTGGATACTTCAACATCCCATTTTCGATAATGGATAGACAAAGTAGACAATAACAAAGAAACAGAAGAACTTGAGCCCTACATAAACTAACCAGTATCAACAGAGGTTGACAGAACACGTTGCTCAACAGGAGTGAGTATGCACATTCTTCCCAAGTGCTCATGCAACATGCTCCAACCAAATGCAAAAGCATAAACCATGCCTCAATAAATTAAAAAGTTGAGATTATTAAAATTGTTTCTGACCACAATAGATTGAAATCAGAAATAGAAGGAAATTTTTGAGATTTGCAACTATTTGTCAGTCAAGTAACATACTCCTAAACGACAAATGGGTCAAGAAGTATTTCCAAAAGAAATTGGAAAATAAAATGAATGGAAATGAAAACATATCAGAACTTTTGGGAAAGAACTAAGAAATGGTGTTTAGAGAGAAGTTTTTAATTATAAATGTTTATATTAAAAATAGAATAAAGATTTTAATTCAATAATCAAATCTTTCACCTTAAGATGCCAAAAAAAAACAACCCAAACAAATAATGCCCCCCCCCCCAAAAAAAAAAAGAATGAGTTGAAGGCTTGGCTTCCTGCTCATGGTGCTATCAGAAGGTGGTAGAACCTTTAGGAGGTGGGGCCTAGTGGAAGGAAATGAAGTCCTTGGGGTGTGGGTCCTTGAGGCAGATATTGGGACCCCAGCTCCTCCTCTCTCCTTTTTCACTTCCTGGGTATCATGAGGTGTGTAGCTTTGTACACCATATACTTCCTGTTATGTACTGCCTCTCTGTAGGCTCAAAAAGCAATGGAGTCAACTGGACATGGACTGAAACTTCTGGAACCATGAGCCAAAATAAACCTATCCTCCTCCTAAGTTGATTATCTCAGGTATTTTGTTCTTGTGAGGGAGAGCTGATAAACACAAAGAGCAAACTAAATCCCAAGCAAGCAGAAGAAAGGAAATAAAAAGTATTAGAAACAAACAACAGGTAACAGTGAAAAATCAACAAAAACTGATGTTGGCTCTTTGAAAAGAACATGGTTTTCTAACCTTAGACTGGACTGAGCAAGATGATTAGTAGAGTCAGGAATGAAAGAGGCTATGTTACTACTGATTTTACAGAAGGGAAAAGGCTTATAAATGAATACTATGAAAAACATGCGGCAATAAATTAGATAATCTACATAAAATGAACAGAAGTGCACATTTATTAAAACTGATTAAAGAAACAAAGTCTGTGTAGGCCTGTTAACAAGTGGAGATTGAACTATGACTAAGAAAAAAACTCTCTACAAAGACCAAAACTTGATAGTGAATTCTACCAAATATTTAAAGATCTTTCAAACTTTTCCAAAAATTACAAGAGGAGGGAATACTTGACAACTCATCCTATGAACTCATTATTACTCTCATACCAAAATCAGACAAGGACATCACAAGAAAAATACAGACTAATAATCTTTATGAACATAGGGGTAAAAGTCCCTTGACAAAGTACTGGTGAAATGAACCCAGCAAGACATAAAAATAATCAAACTCCGTGAAGAGATGGGATTTATCCCAGGAAGGAAAAATTGTTCAAAATATGAAAATAAATATAAAACACTATAGTAATAGAATAAAGGATTGAAAAATCACATGATTTCTTTCTTTCTTTTTTTTTTTTTTTTTGGTACCAGGGATTGACATCAGGGGCACTCAACTACTGAGCCTCATCCCTAGCCCTATTTTGTACTTTTATTTAGAGACAGGGTCTCACTGAGTTGCTTAGTACCTCACTGTTGCTGAGGCTGGCATTGAGCTTGCCATCCTCCTGCCTCAGCCTCCCTAGCTTCTGGGATTATAGGCATGCACCACTGTGCCCAGCTTCACATGATCTTTTTAAAAATGTTTGTTGTTGTTATTGATGGACCTACCTTTATTTTATTTATTTATGTGTGGTGCTGAGAATTGAACCCAGTGCTTCACACATGCCAGGCAAGTTCTCTACCACTGAGCCTCAACCCCAGCCCACTCACATGATCTTGCTAATAAATAAATAACATTTAATACCTTCCAACACCCTTTCTTGATAACAACACTCAACCAGCTAGTAGGAAAAAAGAATATCCTCAACCTGTTAGAAAGTTTCCATGCAAAGCCCAGAGCTAACACCAAGATTAGGAACAATGCAAGATGGCTGTTCTTGCCACTTCTGTTCAATATCGCGCTGGAGGTTCTACCCAGGGCAATTGGGCAAGAAGAAGATATAAAAAGCATCCAGACTGGATCAAAAGAATTAAAGACATCTCTGTTCACAGATGAAAGATCTTTTGTTTAGAAACTCCTAAGGAATGCACATGTGCACTCTATATTATAGCTAATAAACAAACAGCTTATCAAAGTTCAGGATACAGGGTCAGCCTCCCAAAGTCAGTTGAATATCTACATATTAACAATGAACAATCCAAAAATGTAATTAAGAAAGCAATTCCATGGACTATTGCATCCTAAAGAATAAAATGTTTAGAAATAAATTGAACAAGTTCAGAACATGAAATTGTCAGAACGTTTTTTTAAAAAATTAAAGAAAAACTAAATATATGGGAAGACACCCTTTATTCATGAACTGGAAAACATGATACTGTTAAGATGGTAGTACTTCCAAAATTGATCCATGGATTCAATGTAATTCCTTTCAAAATCTCAGCTGTGTCCTAGTTTGTAGACAGCTGTCCTCAGACTGTCCTCACATGGTAGAAGGGGCAAGAGAGATTTCTGGGTCACTGACCCCTCTCATGAGGGTTCTATCCTCATGACCAAATTATTCCCAAAAGCTCTGTCTCTTAGTACTATCACATTGGAGGTTAGGATTTCAAGGTGTAAACTTTTGAGGGATGGTGGCACAAACATTCAATATATAACAGTAAATAAAAACTTCTGACCTGGGCCTGAGCTCGGTTGTAAAACACTTGCCTAGCATGTGCAAGGTCCTGTGTTCAAACCCCCAAAATAAAACAAAACCCTCAAACCAATCACACAACAAACAAAACTTTTCTGCTTCAAAGAACACTAGAAAGAAGGTATAAAGACAACCCACATAATGGGAGAAAATACTTGCAAATTAGTATATAAGGAACTAGTATCCAGACTATATAAAGAACTCCTACAATTCAACAATAAAAACAATTATCACTTAGGCAAAACATTTAAGTAGACATTTATATGTTAAGATGGTAGTACTCCCAAAATTGATATAAAGAATATATACATATAGCCATTAAGCACATGGGGAGTTGCTCAATCCCATTCACCTTTAGGGAAAAAATGCAAGTGACAGCCACAATGAGATGCCACTTTACACACATCAAGAGGTCAACTATGATCAAAAGATGAAAAATAGCAAGAGTTGGTGGGATATGGAGCCACCATATGCGCCACAGGTAGTGTGGATTGACTGGAATGTCTATTTTTTTAGACATTAAAAGGGAACGCATTATAAAGGGAACTCATCTCCTTTGGGTATGTATGCAATTCAGGATAGAAATGGAGATCCCCAAGGAGGGAATCTACACTTCTGATAATAATGCACATGCAAGTTGAGAGATTATTAAAAGAAGCAAAGAATTTTGTCCACTTTTTACCCCAAGTTGGTGAGTCAGTCATCAGGACAGTGGAGAATAGAGTTGGAAAGTAGAGACAAAAATTCTCTGCTTAGGAAACCTTTGCCTATCAAATGGTACAATAGCATGCATTTCCTGTAGTTCTGATTTCTGGTCTTGATATTTCATCATCAGTTAAGGTAGTGGAGCAGGACCTGGGGAGGGGCCACTTCTCATCTAACTCCCATGTTTCCTAGTTGTTATTCTGTTGCCAGGTTGTTTCAAGAATTTCTCTTGTTAGGGAGTCAAGTATATGCTTTGGGTTCAAGGGAAGCCTGCATAAAAAATACTTTTATCTATTCAGTACATT